GGCTGAGCATTCAAAAGACTTGGATTGAGCTGCTGACTTACTACCAGCTGTGTGTGTGCTGAATAAATCACTTGGCTTTCATATGCTCTGAAGCAAGGACTTCAATGAAATGAAATTTGTTGCCTTACAGGTTTCTTGAGACATGGATCACTCTTATTAGAGACCCCTGGATGATTAGTAAAGTGGCACAAAATAAAGTAATCCTCTGTTGGAGAATACCATTGTTACATTGCAATCTAGAAGTTCAGTTTCCTTACCAAGCACTAACTGTGTGAGCCTGGCAGTTGATGGTGGTGATGATGCTTCTTGATCTGTGCACTTTGAGATACGTGCTTCAGCTTATTGTGGATCTTGAAAGCTTAGGAATAGAATATTGATTTACAGAGTTTCTGAATTGTCACTGCAATTTTAGGACTGTATTTTAAAAAAGCAAAGAGCTTTTATTGAACAATATCTGTCCCCTTAACAGGCGTTTCCCATGGAATGACATACTCTTCTGTGTAAGAGACACTGAGAATCTGGTCAATATTTATGCACAAAAATAAATCTGGAGGTCTTTTATGCTAAACATCACAACAACTATGCTTGAAAAGTTGAATGTTATAATCTGTATTACAAGCAGAATTAAATCGAAGCAAAGAAAAAGCTACCAGGAGTTGCAGTGGAACTGTTTTTTGTTGGCACATCTAGCCATGCTATGGATTAAATCTGACTTGAAGAAGTAGTTTCCAGAGTACTTGCAATTTTGTGCACCAGACACCACAGATCTGCAAGGCCTCAGACTTGGAAGGCATTTGCTCCTCTTGACTATATGCTCTGGAGATAGCAACACTGCTAAGAGTCAATAAGATAATAAAGGTATATTTGGAATTTATTATAATTAACTAAGATTTTTAGCCCTTGTTTATAGAAATGAGAAATAATCAGATTAAAAAAAAACAAAAACAAACCTGTATTTAAAACGTTGTAATCAGAAGTAATTAATGTTTATAAAGTGACTGTATAACCATACACAGCCAACCTACATAAGTGCAGATCCTCAAGAGGTTTGTGATTATGTGATTAGTAGTTAGCCTTACTTCCTGCCTAATATAATGGTACCTTGAGGTGTTACAAGCACTATGCACTGCTAAGAATAGTTCTCAGTGAGAAGACTTCATTGCAGTAACTGATTCTTCAAGTCAAAGTTTTAGGACAAAATAGCATCTTTCAACCTCTAGAGGAAGTAATCCCTGTGTCAGGCTAAATACTGATAACCTCCTGCCTCTGCTTCCTACTGCTCCTCCCACCTGTAATGCTGTCCTGGCAAGCCCCTGCTGAAAAGGTCAGGATTTGACATTGCAGGTCACAGCAGCTTCTTGGTCTGCAAGGGGAATTATTGCTGCATTATGTGAGATGAATTGCATCTTCCCAGCTAGATTCTGAGCGAAGGAATGAAACACTGAGAGATGTACTAGTTTGCTGTGAATTTGGGGATCAATAAGGCATGGGTCATCAGTGGATGAATTTTGCAGGCTCCTGTACTTGCCTCTCTGTCTGAATGAGCTTGGCCACCCCAAGCCTTGGGGGTGCACCAGATGCACTGGGTTGGAGAATGTGCAAAGCTCACCCAAAGGCTTCCAGAGCTGTGTTGTTAAAATGTTTGGCCTGTGGGCTCCCAAAGAGTGTCAGTGTGGTGCAGCTCCTCTGAGAAGTGTGATTCTCTGCACCTGTTCTTCATATCTAAAATACTTTCTTATTTTGAAGTACACTGTGGAGAGCAAACCTGGATTTCTCTAATCTTGAAGGTTTTCAGCCTGGCTGCTAGGTTGTCCTGTGGGTATCCACCTTGCTCCTCATCTTCTGTTTTTTGAAAAAAGGCTTTGTTATATTTTCTTTTTACAAATTCCAGACCCTCTTCTCCTCCTTGTTTTGGAGGAGTCTTGCACCCTCTGGTCTTCCTAGCTCTACACCACATGTGGGCTCACCCTCTAGTTCTGAGACCAGCACCCTCCCAGCTGATGTGGGATAGCATATCCTCACCTGGTTGCAAAAAGAGAGTGGGTAAGAACCTGGGCCAAGGGTATAGGGTAGAACAAATTCAAGTGTCATTTAAGAATGGCTTTTCCTGAGATGTTACACTGTTTTTTAAATGTGGCAAAAAAACCCCAAAAAGACCTCTTTCCTCCTGGCCTGCACTCTTCCCTGTTGCTTCTCTATTCTTTCCTCTGGCTTAAGGCTATCTCCCTTCACAGCCTCTCTGAAGGCTCTGTGCTGAAGAGACAAGGTAATCTGTTTTTCATCTGGGTGCTGGACTTGGATAGGTTTAGAAAAAATCTAATTCTCTCAGGTCTGTGGGTTCACCAATATTTAAAATAATGACTCCATAACTGAATCCTGTTTCCTTAAACTGTTGAGTGCTCTGTCAGTTTGCATCCAAGATTATGAGTATAGACAGGGATCCTGGAAAAGTTCAGGATGGAGCAGGGCAGCTTTTGCTCTGGCTCCTGCTGGAGCTCCCCCAGCCTTGCTGGCTGCTCCACTCAGGAGCGTTGGGAGCCCTTGCACCAGCTTGGGTACTGGGGACGAATGTCCATCAGAAGCATCACCTGCACACAAGAAGTGTAAACAGAAAACTTCATTTACAGACTCTTGACACAGCCTAACTGACCCTCTTCTTGTTGGCGTAAACAGCCAAGCCCTCAATTCCTTCTGCAGAGCAGGATGGGCTTTTCCATCCCTACAGTGCTCAAAGAGTCATGAGGTGAGGAACCGCTGTGTGCATGACAGCTGCAAAAACTGCCAGGAAAATGGAGTTTTATGGTTGTTTACTCTTGTCATAGCAAATTCTTTCTTTTTCAATACACTCCTGAGCTCATTCTCCTGGGATCTGCAGTCAGTTATTGCAAAATACTAAGAGCAGAGGCCAAGGCATACGCAGGGAAGCATTACAAGTATTGTATAGTGTTTCTGCACATATGCTTATCAAGCAAACATAAATATATATTTGCTTGCATCTTCAAAGAGAATAATTTGTGACATGAGTGTGCATATACCATAGGTGATCTTGTTTGGAATTTTTACTAAACATAGGACCACATACTGAGGTGTTTTCTCAGTCATTACTCAGGAAAAACTCACAGCTTTAACATTATAGTGATTATATGCATACAAAACCATAATACCTCACACAGGGGTTTTCCTTCAGCTCAAAACTGAGTACTTTCATTATCATGAGACACTACAAAAATTTACAACTGAAGCACTTTATAAATAAATTATATTAGAAACTTTCAGACATGCATCTTCAAGTCCACTGTAAGATACTTAACCTCCTTCTTAAATGAAAAACAGGATTTTGTTTGCAGCCCCAAAAGTCATTAAACACTCAGTCAAATCTCTGTTCTTTGACACTTTCCACTTTTTCCCCAGTTATTTCCAAAATTTTAGAACTTCTCTACATTTCTTATAACTCAGGATAGCCATTCCAAAAATAAGACATTTCAAAAGTTGTGCTTGGACCATAGTTATTAGCAATTAAACTGAATCACTATGTTCAGAGAAGGAATTTGAGCTTGTCCAACAAAATAAATTAAGAGTATGGCTGCTGGTTTAGGTTATTAAAATAATGTCCATAAAGTATTTAAAAGGTGGTAAAAAGTTCAGCTTTAACCTATCACTTTTGTAATACCTGGGGATTTTAATAGATAGAATTTGATTTTTTAAAAATTATTTTTAAAAAATGTCTAGAATGCTTTCTTCTTTCTTTTTCTTTCTTAACAACATACACAAAAGCAATATCCCCCAAAGCACACTTGCACTCAGACATGAGATGGAAAACTTATGTTTATAAAAGCCATCTCCTTTTGCTTAAAACAGAGAGATGTGCTGAGAAACTGGTACAGAATGACAACATTTTAAACACAGAGGAGACAAGATTTATCTGGCTGGTATACAATATAAAGCAAAAAATCGAACACCGATGTTAGACCATTATATTAAAACAAGCCACAGTAATTAGATGCTTTGAAGTCAAGCCTATATTTTCTTCAGCTTTTTTTCATGGATTATTGATCCACTTTCCCCATTAAACGGAGTGGCAGGCTCTTGCAGTAAATGGACAAGTGACTACAACATTTATATAATCAAATATCCTCCGCATCTGGCAATAAAGCATGTTTGTGTGTAAAACATCCTTTCTGAATTGACTTCCCTGCAAAACAGATTTACTAGAATAACCACATTCCTTTTCTTTTGTCTCTAAAACACAGCTTCCCTTGCATCATCATGCACTCCACTATTTTATACTGATTGTATTAAGCCTGTATCATCTGTTGTGCAACAGAACATTTCTTCTCTATAATAAGACATAAATAAACTGTCTCACTTACCTTATTTTCTCCATCTCTGTCGCAGAGGCCTACAAGAAATCAAATAATAGGAGCAAGTGAATGAGAGAAAACATTCACTCTGCAGATTTATGCATAGTTAAGGGTTTCCAAATGGTTTTCGACAAGTGTCTACACAGCGATGGGAAGCGAACCCCACATCTGCATTAGCCGAAAATAACATTGACAGATGAACTGGGGAATAATGCAGCACGCTGCAGGAGCACTGTGTACCCACGAGCCATGGGCAACAGAATGACTCAGTTGTGGCGCTGAGGCAGAAAATGGGGAGGGGAAAAAAAAAAAAGCCAGCAGCAGCAAGTAACAGGTTACTGTGCCTCCTGGGTGTCAGACGAAAAGTTGAAATGCGGTGCTCCCCTCAGCACGATGGGCATGGCAGCAGCGCTCGGCTGGCTGGGAAACGGTGGTGACTTCATCACACGTGAATTTTGAGTTCAATTCATCATCTTCCACAGAGCCTGGCAGATGGAAGGGCTTTGCAAGAGACACAAGCTTGCCTCCTCGCTGGGAGTTTGGAGTAATCAAATTACTTTCCTCAAGTAATACGCTATCTTGACAATTAGCATCTCAATACATGGAGGCTTTTTCTTTAACCCTTTCACTGCCACTTACCTGGGCTGTAGCTCACAACTCCGGGAACTCCGGTCCCTCTGCGCTGCAGCCGGGTCCGCTAACCCTCTGACAGCAGCCAGCATTCCTGTGCCCCTGAGCCTTCATCCCCGCACAGCTGTGGGTGGTCATTGCACTCATCTGTCTGGTTTCTTCTGACCTTACAGGTGCTGTAAACCCTTACTTCTCCATAGCACAGAGACTCGTTAATCTCTCTGACACTACTTCTGTCAAGGTAGTTTTTTTAACCCTTTCGTTTCCGTGTAATCATCATCTTGTATGGATCCTTAATAGCTGCTTCCATTTCATTTTATCATGCCACTGGCACAGAACCTCATCTGTCCTCCTGGTCCCACTTTATTTTAAATAAGGAATGAGCACTCAGAACAATCCTGCAATCTCTAGAAGCAGATAAATACCAGCACCACAGAATCTCTTATTGGTACTGAAGGCATTGTCCATTCATCATGGACACTTTAAACCTTATTGATAAATGACTAACAATCATATTGGAGTATGAAATAAATTAAAGATAAAAAAAGAGTCATGTAAATTTAATCAGTTAACCAGCAGGAAATGTGTTCAACTGCCTAATAAAACATCCCAAATGACAAATTTTTGGTTCTTCATCAGGTCACTCATCTTCCCTTTTCCTCATCTATTTTTTATTTGGGCATTAGAAAAGTTGTCAGTCAGCCGGGTGTTTGCATGATCATTTCTGATGACATACAATAAGGATTTTAGGCTTTCACCATAACTTGGTACACAAGCAGACAGCTGCAGGAAAACCCCTTCTCAACTTCCCAGTAATGGATGGAATACATGTTTATATGGTTCCTGCATGTCTGTTGGATGAACAGGGTTGTCCTTGGTAAACCCCAGATTTTGAACTTACAAATCTAACCTAGGGACCCATAATAGCCATCTCTAATTTATATCTATTCATTAAATCCATGAGTATTTTGTAGAATACAGGAAACTGTTTAAACATTGCTAACCAGAAACAGCCCACCAGGGCTTTCTACCTGCGCAGGGGAAGCTACTCTCAAAAACTGCCCTCGTCATCATGTTCCAGTCATTTTGGTGAGGCTGGACACAGTTTTCTCTGGGGCCACTCACTATTGATTTGCCTTCAACTGTGGGAGTCACCCATGAAGACAGAATACTTAGAATTTATTTCAGTGCTTTTATCCACAGACATAAGGGGAAGCTGCCTGGCCTTGCTTTTGCCTGTACACAGGGTTGGGCTGGGGGCTGTTTTGTGTGTTTTATGTGATGAAAGTGCAGGATGGAGAAGAGGACCTGTGGGCTGGCTTTTTGGCTACACTCATCTGTGAATGCAGGTGAGTCATTGGCCTCCAATCCTGACTGGAAGTTAGTGAGGAAAAAAGGCACAGCAAGTGCCTGACACCAAAACAAACCAGAAAACTAAACCAAGCTGCAACTACTTCATATGAACTGTTGAACTTTTTAAAATATAGATATTTTTAATTTTTTTTTAATGGTAGAGGGGTTTTTTTACCTCCTTCCAGTAAAAGATAATTGTTTTCTGGACTGTAGCCGGTTTTCCTTTGGACCATCAAGGATGTTCTCTTCTACTTTTCCTGAAAACCTGAGCAGTGAAGAGAGGGCTCCTGTCTGATGTGGGAGCAATGAATTCAGCTCAGTCCTCCTTGAGGAGGATGCTCTAAACAAAGGTTAGAGCCCTTTCTGGGCTGTGGCACTGCAAAAGTTCATTACTTCTTTTGATGGTGATTCACTTCTAGTAAATAAATAGGAGCACACAAAAGAACTGAAGTCTGTGTGTTTTTTAGGAGAATGACCTAGCTTTCAGCCCAGACAGTCAAATGAGCATATGGGAACTTGAGATGGTGAAAACAAAGATAACAGCATCTGTAGAAATGTAGCTTTCATCCCAAGCAGTTTATCCTTTCACATAATTGTGCTCTTAGGAAGGTCATTTTCCCATAATTTTCTTTTTTTCTTTTCTTTTTCTTCTTCCATTTAGTCTTCTTTTTCCTTTTTTTTTTTTCCTTAATTTCTTCTTTTTCCCTAAAAAATCTTCAGCAATTCAAAATTCTTTTAAAAGTCTGCACTTTTCTGAAACAGCTCTCCTTTCACAAGGCGATATTTTTACTCAAGCAAAATTGCTGTTTCCTAGCCAGATCCCTGACATTGATACTGCAAGGAAGTTTGGAGGCTACATCATCCTCCTCTCTATAAAGGATCCTATCTGAGAAAAATCTACTGAATTTATTTTAAAATATATTCTAAACAACTCTGAATCTGCCACTTCTGAGATCAATCTTGTCCTGAAAGTCTTATGGGACCAATTTTATGCAGAAAGGCTGAAGTAAGGGTTGGTATAAGAATGACTTATGGTATGTCATTTATAAGTTGTTGCTTGGTAGTAAGTTAATTTATTTCAAGTGCTTCTTGGTGCCTGAACTGAGCTGTATGATTGAAGCCGTGTGATTTTTTAAAAAATAAAATATTTTTAATTAAGATCAGTAATTACCTTTAATTACAGAAATAGCAGCTGTGTTTTAAACACCTGTTGGTTTATTTTTTTTTTCTCAACAATATTAATGCAACTTGAATAATAAATTTATTTAATCAGCCCAGAAATAATAATTTTTGCTTTTAACAAAAAGATTGACCTGGGTATATCAATATCCTAATTTTCATATACAGTCTCCCACTGAAAACATTGAGACCAGTTTGAAGATTTTCCTTTTTACAGAAGTATTTGATGTGGTAGCTTTGCCTGGAAGCACTTTAAGGTAGTACCTAATAGTACTAGTAGAAACTTAACTTGTTTCCATGTACTTGAAGAAAGCAAGTGTAAACCAGAACAACTGATAATACTTTCTTTTTCTTTAAGTGCTGAGCATTAAAAAGTCCATTTTGGAACTGGCATTCAAAAGCAATTTTATTTTTTTTTTAAATTATTATTATTATCCTTCCTCCTCCCTCCCCCCTGTTTATTCTAGATTGAAACTTGATATTCTTTGATATTCTTTGAGAACAAAGTCACTCACTGTCTTGAATGAAAGCAGGGATGCTGTTAATGGAAACCCCAGGAAACTGTACTGTGAATTTTTTTCTCTTTAGAATATGATTACTGTTTTCCAGACAGTATGATAACCTCTCAGTAGTTCTCAAGTCAGCAGAGCAAATGAAAAATACCGTGATCCCCTCATTATTTCTTGCCTTGTTGATTAATGAGTTAAACAATCTCAAGCAAATGGAAGAATATTATTTGTCATTGACATGCATAAAACTTAATATAGTGATCAGATTCTTTCATTTTTGTTTTTCTATAATTGGTGTCTATGATGTTGATTACTGAACCAAAATACTTTTAAATAAAATAAGAATTTATGCTGATAGTCTATCTACCATGATATTCAAATCACATGGTGATGGCATTAGTAAAATACTGTTTATAGTATTTTACTTTATTGTATTTACTTTATTATACTTTATTATAGTATTTCCTTTATTGTATTATTTTCTGAAGTACAAGTAATCATGAAATTTCCCATCTTCCAGATGTCTAATGAAATTTTCTTCCCCTAAGATCTTCAAGACAATTTTCATACCTCTGCATGTCCCTAATATATGTGTGAAAAAGGAGGAACACTGTGGAGGTGAAAACTCTTTTTTATTTTTCGTTTTGTTTTGTTTTCTCAGGAAGAAATGTTTCATTTTAGAGAGAAGGACAGGACCTGGAGTCTGGCTCAACACCCACCAGTCTTCCTGTTGAGCTCAGTGGATTTTGGAGAAACATGTTGGCTAGTGGCTAACAAAAATGTAGGGG